GCCACGCCCCCTGGCTAATTTTGAACTCGGTTCCTATAAAGTCATCTCATACCATCCATAGTGCTTGACTTATCGCGCTTTTAGTAGTTTTTAACAGTACCGTTATATGGGGAGTGGGCGGAGTTGCCACCCGATTTCAAGTATTTTCACACCGTCAATAGAAGTGCTAAAAGCATTTGCTTCCAGTGAATTTTGTTATTATAGCATTAGCGGTTAAGGAGATATGCACATTAAACCTATTAGAGGCGGGACCACGCCCACTTTAAAAAAAAATGTTAACCGCAGATGCCCCTTCTCAATGTGATCCTGTGTACCAAATAACAGTATTGTGTCTTATTGCGGAGCTTAGTTATGGCAATTTATTTTTTTTTGAATAATAGCGTTTTGTGGGCGTGGCAGTGGTTTAATTACGCCCATCTGCACTACCAACTGTCTCACGGTACCAAGAAACATGTCTACCAAGTTTCATAAAGATATCTCAATTTTTACTCAAGTTAGAGCTCGCAAGGACGGACAGACGGACGGACGGACAGACAGTCACCCGGATTTTGACTCGTCTCTTTCTCCTGATCATTTATATATACATAACCCTATATCTAACTCCATTAGTTTTAGGTGATACAAACAACCGTTAGGTGAACAAAACTATTATACTCTGTAGCAACAGGTTGCGAGAGTATAATAAACTGGCATACAATCTGCAAATTTTTGACGGAACGGCGACTGTTTTAAAAAAAAACGATTTCTATTTATTTTTTTCTCGTATGTTCTAAAAATAGTAAAAATTTAAATTTGGGGATGAGGCTAGTTCATACTCGAGAAAAACGCATGTGAAATTTCGCGTAAAGTCTTTGTTCGATTAGACCCAGCCGAACCAATTTGGAGGCCGGGTCAGTAAAATGTCTTTATCTCCAAAAATAATTCAAATTTTCAAAAATCCCCTGTTAGTTTTTTGAAATTCTACATTAGATATCGGTATTAATGTTCTCTTTACATTATACATTTTCGCAACCGAACGAAACTGGGTAGTTACCGTTATGAAATAAAAGACTAGAACTCGGTGGTTTTTGTTTTGACTTTTATTATTTTTCACAGATATTCAAAATAAACAACATAATTTAACATTCGGTCGAACAAATGTTTCTTTATATATCTTATGTAATAATCTACACGAAATCAGAAAGTAAGTACACGTTAAAACTCTATTATACTTGTATTTCATACACGTACTTATCACACAGAATAAATACTACATAATAAACCATAACATAACCGTTTATAAGTCGAAAAGTAGACATATGCACAGTTATTTTGATAAAAATGTTAGCTTGTGCTTGAATTAATAAACAAATATTTACAATATTCAATTTTAATTCTATTAAACTTAATATTTATTATACAATGCTTAAAAAACGTATAATTTTGCTTTTTTATTTAAAAGTTCCGTACAAAAAATGTTTTTTCCATTTTTTTCAGAATTGGTTTAATTTTTTAGGTTTAATTAGTTAAAATAAATAATATATATATATAAATATATGTTATAATTTATGTACATATATTTAATTTATAATTTATTATAGAACTTTAATAGCATAATAAAATGAGTTTGAATGCAATTAACCTTCTTATAATATGTGATTATATTTATGCAAGAATCATGAACTTCAATTTTATTTACATATTGTACATAAATAAATTTATATTGAATAATTAACGCATTTCTTATTTTTAATACATATACTTGACTATTCACTCTTTATGAAATTCGATACGCCAAACAATACATTTCACTTTAACAATTTTTTAATAACGGCAATTGAAACTCTTCACACCACATTATTTTTATCAGGCATTAAATGATTAACTGAAAATGTTATTTAAAACTAGTTCATATCTGTTATTAATATAAATTTGATGGATTAGTATTATTATCATTATTATTATTATTATTAGGTACATATAAACTCCATTACCGAAATTATTTGCGAGAAAAATTCTTAGATGAAGCTGCTGGAATGACTAATGCATAGCTACGAATATTTTACCGAGGTACCAAATTTATACGAAAGAAAATTTCCAAACCTAGAGAGCTAGACAAATGCGTCTTTTTATATAAATTTGCAGAACTGCCAACTCGACAAAAGGTATATTTGGCTTTTTTTGGCAGGAAGCTCGAACATTTTTGGTTAGGTACATTCGCTCACAACATTTTTTATACTCTTGCAATATGTTGCTACAGAGTATAATAGTTTTTTTTATCTAACGATTGTTTAAATAACCTCAAACTAATAAAGATATAAGGTTATATATATATGTATAAGTGATCAGGATGATGAGACGTGTTGAAATCCGGATGTCTGTCTGTCCGTCCGTCCGTCCGTCTGTCAAGCTGCAACTTGAGTAAAAATTGAAATATCGTAATGAAACTTTGTACTCGTTTTGTTTTGTTAATTACTAATACTAAAAGCGCGATAAATCAATAAATAAATGCGCCAGAGACATTAAATTTTACACCCAAGATTGTACAGCAAGGCTTGATAGGAGCCGGTGTCAAAATTCAATGATGTGAGTGACACCGTCCACATTTAAGTGAAAGTATCTTAGGACTTACTAGACCAATTTCAACAAAATTGGGTACATAATCTTATCCTTAAATTTTAATGTTCCAGTGTTAGCTTAGTTGTTAGAGCTTAAAGAAAGTAGGCCATCTTATGACTAAAAATTTTCAAAAATCGTACTACAACTCCTTCAAGCCCCCAAATACCAAACATGTGGACCCCAGTTTATGCTGCGAACATTTCATTGAAATTATCGGTTAATCTATGATATATATTATTGAAATTCGGAGAAAATCCTTTTCTGATAACAGTATGCGTGTATATCAAATATGTATGTTGGATCGGGCCAATACTTCCCTTTGCCCCATATATCTCATATAAAGATTTTCGAACTTTCAGTTGACTTTATAATCCATATAACAGCCAATGTAGGATTTATTTTAATGAAATTGAGAGAGCGTATTTCACATAATGTATATTTGTGACTAAAATAGATAAAATCGAGTGAAACCTTGCCTTAGCCCCTATATAACTAATATAATATCACGATTTTCGAACACCCGGCTGACTTTACTCAATATACCATATATTGGTGATAGTAAGTGTAGTTTCATTAAGGTAACTCAGGGAGATTTTATTAGTACAGTATCCCCCGGATAAATGCACTTCCTAAATGTAGAATTTTTTGTTCAATTCTTTCAATTACAGGAATCTCGCTACTACGTGAAATAACGTGCGATTCCATATTTCCTTATTTACATAAACATTTATTTTCTGAATAAATATACCTTTAAAGTTCTTGTATGTAAATATTTTAATACTTCGACAACTGACGGAGGCCTTATCTGACACATGCCAAACAATTTTTTTTAACCAAAGCAAATTACCGGGGAAAATTAAAGATATTTTTTTTTTATTAACACATATTTTAAGCCAATTATGCGGGGAAACTAATTAACCGGGTTCAATTATGCGGGAAAATTTGCAGGTATTTTGTAAGCAATATATTTTTTACCGATCAGGTAAGTGAGAAAATCAATTAACCGAAGGTCAATTAAGCGGGGGATACTGTACATATGTGGTATACTAATAGTTTGTGGTATTGCCAAAAATAGATAAAATCGGTTGAATAGTATCCCTATCTCCCATATTCGTTATACAACATTTTTCAACTTCCTGTTGGCCTTATAAGTACCTAACACGTAAAAGTATATCGCCGGCTTTGATCCTTACAAGTTACAATAGTATAACATGTTCGGTTACACCCGAATTAAGCCTTTCCAAAAATCATTGCATGTGCCACACGAGATAATTTCTGAACCAATGCTACACATTTTCTGCATTAAACTATAGTATATCGAATATTATACGTATATTTTGACTGATTCCTAAGGTATAGAGATATAAGGAAGGCTGAATATGTTATGTGTTATATGGGAGCTAGGTAGAGCATTGACCCGATTTTATTCTTTTTTGGAAATTAGATACCTCACATATTGACTATATGTTGATCATATAAAATATATATAATATATACATAACTTATAAAATATATAATTAGTTTTTAAACGTAAGCTCCAAAGACACTCTACAAACGCTCATCCCGTTTCAGTTCTAGTTATTGTATCGTACAACCGACGAATAGAAAAAACAAGTTTAATCCTCTCAATATCAATTTATTAAACTTCTGATTAAAAGTATTTATTCGGGGTAGATTCTGATATTGAGTATGGATATGTAAACGATGTGGATGATGGAGTTGATGGTGGGGTTAAGAAGTTATACCCTTCGGATTATGTTGTAATAACTCACAATGACACTGCCTTTGAAGTTGTCCTTTTTCTTAAAATATTTGAATGACGAGTTTTTGTGAGAGCAGCTTACTATTATTATGTACTTCGTAAATCTAGCACTAACTGCATCATGGATGGAACATCGTAGGGACTGTTAGGAGCGTAAGATAGCCAAATTTTTGGATTCATTCAATTTTCGATCTGAAGTTGTTTATTTCATTTTAAATTTAAAAACCGGTAACTTTTAATTGGACGGTAACACCCAAAGCCGCCGTGTACGGTCATCGCGACTGGAAGCTTTACAATCCAAACTTTCCAGGATCCGCAAAACTCTCTTGTTGCAACCCTCAAGCTCCTTACGGTTCAAATTTTCAAAACACAAAATACACTACCAACCCACCACAAAAACGCAAAACAGTGGTCCAAATTAATCTCCCAGAGGAGGGGTGTAGGGATACTGTAACGCACATTCCACAATTGCTGCGTCAAAAAATACTTGGACTTTGTAAAATGCGTGGCTGTACGAAGAAAGAATATGTTAATTACCATAATATGCCAGAAATGTAAGGTTTACTTGTGCATGAAACGTGATAATATTTTGTCTTATATCATAATAAATAAGAGTTAAAAATAAACTTTCAAATAATATGTAGGAATGATCATAACATATATATTTCTTATTCATATGTGTGTATATACCATATTTATACGTTTTTGCATAAACTAATAAATTATAGAATGTGTTAGCTGAAGTGAATATTTTTGAATAAAAACTGATTTCAAGTAACGAAAATATTTAGTGGCATAGTTGCATGAATATTAATACCCAGACTTATGATGTCCCATATAAGGGACATCGAATAACATCTAATTAAATGATTTACAGAAAATTATGTTTACTGATGTCAAATAGGTACACACACTAATTTTCAAATTTTCATCTTAAGCGGTTGATTTTCGCGCTCGAGAGCGTTAAATAAACCTTAATTTATAGCGGTTTTGGTAGTAATGGAGGCAAAGCAAAACAAAAAAATAAAATGGGTGTCGTATCATGTCATCTCTAATATTAATAAGTACTTACATAGTATATTATCTATCCTTGTCAACTTTTCATTATATTTTAAAATTTTTATTATTATTATTATTTACAATTATACCTTAATACTTAGAAACCAGTGCACTTTTTTTTTGTATTTTTCAATTACATATTAACTTAAGAAGTTTTTGTTTGTTTTTTGGTGAACAGTTTTTAACAGTGTGTAAGATATTCTTTCATTTGTTTATGTACATACTAAGATATCAGGATAGAATTTGGCAGGAAAGTTTTCCATATAACAACACAGGCACACTCACATATTATATTACAGTATTTCCATCGAATTCAGCATATACTGTTCCTGAAAAATAGTGTTTATGGCATTTGCATGTAAAGAGAAGAGAATAACGAGGAAGTGAAATGTAAAACAAATATTACGAGTATATTAACATGGAATACTTTTTATAATACATTTGGTATATTTCACTGAAGCTGTCAGATACTAAAAGCTTTTATTTTGAAAATAGCATAAGCAAACTTTTACTATTCGTTAAACATATATAGTACTACTTTCTATTTATTTAAATGTTCGTAAATATTACACGCATAGAAGTTTATAACAGCCCAATAAATTAAAATTATGTATGAGTGTATATATTATGTATAAGTGTATATATGATGAGTATAAGCAATGGTACATTTGGTGCAAAGTTTAAGCAACATACCGTATTTTCAAAAGTTCGCATGGGTTTACTTTGGTTGTAATAGAAAAAAACTGTGAAGTTATGACGAGAAAAGATGAGGGTATGTGCCATATTTTCTGGAATACAAAAGGGTTTGGTATGAAATACTAAAAACGCCTTAAAATCAATATGATCATAATCATACATTAAGAAAGTTAACAAATGTAAGTTGGCGTGTTTTCTATTAGAAACTCTGGTGTATTGTTTTAAATTGGCGAAAACGATTAAGCCCCTCTTAATATTATGATTTTGTAAGGGAAATATATCTTTAAATTACATAGACTTACGATATTAATCATCATAATATGGTTGGAAGCTAAAAATGGAAAAATCGATTCTTTTGATCCTGAGCTTCCATATAGCTATCATATTATATCTAGCTAAATTTATTAGGCATATATATACATATCTCTCAATGTGTAAGGAATCTTCATCCTTGGTAGCCCGGACGGTAATACGGTAAATATTATGCTAGTGAGAGTGCAATATATTAATGAATTTAAAAAATGTGGTTTTAAAATTTAATGAATGGTACTAGGATTAAGTAAACTTTTTTACAGTGTTTATATGTTCCTCCAGCTATAGTATGATAAATGCACTTACTTCTGTACAGCAACTACTATATTTGATAAATTAAACCAGAAATTCTAATGAAACTGAGCTGTCAGATTTTCAGTTCACAAGTTTGTCTAATATTGTATCTCATGTTCGACTGCGCCTGAACTTAGTCTTTCCCAATTTATAATTATTTCACCTGTTGACCCATTGGTATTTAATTGCAAATTGTAAAAATTAAAAAATACTCGTTTATATCTATTTATATCATTTAGGAAGCACAGGATTGAGCAAATGTATGCTTTGCGCTCTCTGTACTTTCTAAACGACACCACTTCAATCCTTGCCTAAAAAGAAATACTTAATTTTGATTACTAGTCACGTTGTGATATTATCTTCACTTAAGATAAGATTTTGGATAATACTACAAAATTGTAAAATTTAAAGATGCAAATCGTTTTTTGGGACTCGAAGACGCTGTGAATGAAGTGAAGAAGGTATTGATGAAAAGGACACAGTTATTTTGCCGCTGCTTAATGATGATTCGCAGATGTCAAAATTACTAAAACTTGCTCCTTGTACAATTAAGTAAGGCATCGCAAAGCAGATATTGACGAAGTTTTTTAATGGGAGGAGAGTCATGGGCTGTTCACGCTACGTGGTTATGCAGCAAAAGAAGACGATATGATTTATCTGCTTGATAACCGAAGTGCAAAAAATGCCTATTGTCCCACTTTTCCCAGTTAACCAAACATTAGTGCTCATCAGGAAAAGACGGTATTATAAAACAACTAAAAAACCTTTACCGGAATAGATTAAAAAAAATGTGTGATGAGGAAGGAACATTAGTAGCCATTGTTTTGGATTGGATGATGATGACTAACGTAGATTTTTGCAAGTCCTTATACTATCTTATAATATTAAGAAAATTGGACTTAGTTGATGGCAGGGTTACATATTTTGTGGTATAAAATTCAAAATAAAAATTCAATTTAATTTTTTTAATAAAAATTTTATATTTTAATTCTAAAACAAATTTTGTTTTTAATTCTTAATAATATGCATGAGATTCAAATTTTCCTTTTTTATTTTTCAATCTGGTATGTGGGGTTAAATTTTTTATAACCCGTATTTGCGATTACAAAATAAAAAAAAATGTTACTAAAATTTTTGGGGATTGGGATTTACTGCGAGTTTTGAATAAACTTGATATAAAGTAACAGAAACAATGCGGGAAAAGCGATCCTAAAGTTATCCTTTACGATTGGGGAAAATCATGAGAATGTCATGTTGAGCTGAATATTATCACCATTTGATACCTATAACGACTTACTGGAGGTAAGGTGCAAAAATAATAGCCTGTGCACAATAGGAACCAATTTCGATACAATTGGACCTATGGGAATAGTAAAACGCTGCTAATCACAGAGAAAGCATAAAATATATATGAGTAAATCACACATATCTTAAAACTACATAAAGAGCATGGGCAGTGTCGAGGAAACGTGGGATTCTACCTCATTGTATCGTGTTAGTATTCGTGGTAAAAAATTGTGGTGAGTTACCTTCATATAGGCACATGGTAGATATTATTATATAGCAGGGCGTCTTCATTCTTTAGCAAGCCAAAAACAGTCTGACCAATTATCTTTTAGAAGCATATTGCACGAAACTACTTAAGTCTCGCAACTGCAACAAAATCCCTCCAACCGGTTCTAGCGTGGCAGGTACGAACAATAATATCGGGTATAACCCTAGGAAGCTACCCAAGCAGTTAAGGTGTGTTTTTATCATACGCGTATAAAATGGCACAAAACGTTGTGCATTGGCAAAGATTGTTATAAAAACGAACACTAATACTCAACTCACGAAAGTACTGCCTCAAAAGTAAGCTTTCAAGCTGATTTCGTTAATTTTAACTTCTTAGCTCGTTTAAGATAATTATTTTGACGGCTTCCTTTTCTATTATACCTTACCCAGAACTGTTGTAACGATGGTCATCATTCTCTTGCGATTTTAATAATCCTGCCAGCACGTTTATTTATCAGACTCACACTTTAGATTAAAAAAACTATACCATATTCTCGAGATGACTCTCTTAAAAACCTTTCTTATAGCGGAATTCTAAAACTTAGCTTTTGAAATTTTTTGTTTCTGAAGAAGATCAGTTTTAGACCTCGACGCTCAAAAACACTCTTGTTTTTAATGACAATGTTTTTTTGTTAATTATGATATTTAATGATAGTTCTAACGATTGGCGACATAGAGAAAAATTTAAATTCCATCATCAAGTTGGAATGAAATATGTCTAGATTGAAATTTCAGTACGTAATGTGTACTACTGCCAAATTAGTGATATCGAAATGAATTGGTAATATCTTTGGATATTTAAAATACATACATACATATATATGGTAGATCGAACATTCTGGGCAAGTCTCGTTCCAATTAGTTATTTCATAGTTATACATTTCATATAGTTATTTATGTTATACTTGTATACAAATCGGAAGAATAAGCACATAATGAAAACCGAAAAAAAGCTAAATAACTGCGTAGGTTTATGTACATACATATACTTGTATTTTAAATATATGTTCAATAATAAAGTGTACGTATTTTACACTGAATTAATAAATCTTTGAAATTTATATATTATATTGAACTTCAAAACGCATTAAACACATGCATACATATTTCAAGACGATTTGTTTTTGCTACAGAATAGCAATTAAGTTCTACATATATAAATAAATTACATATGTGCATCCCTTAAATTAATTTATTTTATACAGTTAAACCCATGCTTTCTTGCCTATTAATATTACAGGAGTGTTGCTTTTTCTGTTGTCGGTGTTTTTGTTTTGGTTTTAGTTGTCAATTTACCGCAGTCAGCGTTGTCACTTCAATCGAAATTAGATTTTCTGTCAGCGCTATCGACTCGGTCACGGCACTTCGTAAACCAACGGCATTGTTGTTGGGCAACAACTTCAAATCAACTTTGGCTACTTCGGCGTGCTTTTGTCTCCGACGTGTCTGTCCACTGCCTGTCGTGTGACCGTTAAGAGCAACAATAGTGTTTTCTTTAGAACCACATATTAATTCCCTAAATTCTTTACGGAAATTATCATTCAGCCATCCATAGAGCAGAGGATTTGTGCAAGCGGAACTCATGCCGAACATGTGACAACAAGCATATATAACAAGCATGCGCTCCGTCACCGCAATTGGACTCCGCATATCCGCATATAAATTGTAAACATTTAAGGGCATCCATGATATGCCGAAAATCAGTGCAATAGTTATCAATAAGCAATTTGTCCGTTGCATACGTCGACCACGTTCTGCCTTACGTTGTGGCGTTTGCATCGCCACCACTGTGGTGCGACTTCGTAATTTCCTATAGATGCCGGAATATGCACCGGATACAATCAGTATTGGCACCAAATATTGCACGCATAGCGAAAATATCGAATAGTAAAATCGTCCATGACTCACGGGCCAATCTTCGACGCAAAAGCATACACCATGGATGCCTAAGGATTGCAGTAGTGGCGGAATTTCTGCTTGCTCCAAGCGTTTGTAGATGAAGAGAGGACTGGCCAATAGCACGGCGAACAACCAGATGCCAGCGAGTATAGATATGACTCCACCAACCTGAATGCTGTCCCGTGTCGGATATACAATAAGCTGGAAATTAAAAATAAATATATATGCGAAAAGTGAGTGCCTTTGAAGCAAAGTGGGCGATATCAATTTTACTTTATTAAGAAAGGAAAATTTAATAGAAACTAAACTAGTTAAACTCTTAGCTCATCTACCCAATGCTTGGAAAACCCATTATTACAAGGAAGTCCCGTACCGGTAAGTGAATAAACTGTGCCGCTTAAAGCCCGGATGATACTTATATCACTGCATAATTTTAGCGCTGGTTCTGCCACAAACCTCTAAACAGCCCGAAATTTTGATACTATTTTCTTTGTTCTGATTAAAAAACTTTGACTGAAATATGTCATATTTTTTTTTTAATAATACAATAAAAGAAAAATATTTTTGGTCTAAATTCAATTTCATTATTAATTATAGATGATATACCAATTATAGGGTTCCGATTTTTTTATGACATTTTTGTAGTAAAATATTTATATTTTATCGTAATGGGTTTTTTTCTCAGTGATTCCACAGGAGCATTCTTTTGATATCTAAGAACAAGGAAAATCTGCGGTGAATAGTTAAATGATTGAAAGATATATTCAAGTTATTTCATTGAATTGCCATAAGGTGAAGTTTATACTTCCGGAATCATTTGGTGGACTTTTTGTTTTCTTTTGGCCGTCCACTTGGTCAACGTCTCTACCTGTACGGAATTGACAAACCACTTACGAATAGTTACTTGTAACAGAGCGCTCACAACACTCATTAATCCACTTTTTGGTATTCAAGTGTTTTGTTTTCCATCGTTTGCCATATATCTTTAAATTTGTCAAGCGGGTTGAAAAGTATCTAAATATTTTTGTATAGCGTTGTTACGCTACAGAGATAAAGTAGGGAACTCCTAATACTCCATTACAACATACGCTGTAGATACAGAGCTCATAAGGACAAGAATAGACTATCATTCTATCGAAATATATGAAAAATGATATTGCAAGCAAACTCACCTGATACCTGTCAAAGGCAATGGCTGTTATGGAGATGGTCGACACGAAAATGCTCACCGCCTGCAGCATGGCTACTAATTTGCATATTACTTCCAACATGCCGAAAGGCCAGTACTTTGAGAGGATTTCCAACAACGTTATTGGCATGGTTATTACACATAACAGTAAATCTGAAATCATTGCAGTTCGAAGAACGACTTATTAAATGAAAATAAAATAACAGTAGGTAAAGACGGCAAATAAAACGTGACAAGTAAACAAATCCATATATCGTAAATATGCAAGTACATAAATATATACATACAAGTACATATGTACATAAGAAAAAATGGTGTGTAATTCAAAGAACTACGCAATGCAAATTTATGTAAAATTGCAAGTTACACTTGCACTCAGTTTACACTCACCCGAAATAGCTAAATTCAGAATGAAAAGGTTGCGGGCGGTGCGCATTATTGGCTTTCTCACCACCGCAATCGCGACGAATATGTTGCCGACTGTGCCAAATATAATCATACCCAAGTATATACTTATTAGTGCGTAATGCCACTGATCGCTGATGGCGCGATTCCTTGAAAACCGGTCAACGAGTCTCTTTCCCTGCGAAACGAAGAGACTTGTATTCGACTGTGCGGTTAAGTTGTTAATATCTACTTCCATGTAATCTACCAAAGGAGCGCCCTCTCCACTTGCAGTTGAGATGGAATTAAACATTTCCATTCCTGAGTCGGTAGAGGAAACACCTACATCCAGTGCAGGTTCTGAGTGCGTTATGTTTATTATCTGTAATGATAAGAAACGGTGAAACTACTCTTAGTTCATTTATTTTATTCAATGCACGGCACGTAAAAATTAACACAACCGATATATCATACATAATATATATAAAGTTAAATGGTTGAGTCATTTAGTGTATAATGTTCAGCTGTCCCCGAATGAGGCCCTTTGTTATTAGTTTTTGTTTTTTAAAGTGAAGAATTAATATATTCTAATTATTTGCAATAATTCATGTTTTTAAACTGATTTAAAGATTTACTAAAACTTTAACAGTTCCACACTAATAGCTTTTTGCTATTTTACACTTTGCTTCATATTACAGATTACACTGGTAAACAAAATTAAACCTTTTTTATTTTATGAAGTTTCAAAACTGTTTCCTTCTAATTTATTTCATAAATTAAGATTTCAAATCTATTAGTTTGTTTCTAGCAGCTCTAGTTTTAGTGATACAGGTACTTCTTGGCTGACTTGAATTAATTTGTAGGACAAAAAAGTACTGAATTTTATAAATAAACCGCTATGTTTACATAAAGAAGAACTTAATCAAATTATCCAAATAGTTTTTGTGCTATTTGTGGTAACTATATGTTTAGAGAATGCCATTTAAATGCGTCTGATTCTATAAAAAGGCCTATTTGGACCACTATGGGAATAAAATACATAGAATATAACTGGCTGATATGCGTCGATCTTTAAATGGTAAATTTTTTTTAGAACAGAACTCTGGACTAAAAATTTTTGCTCTCTAGACTACATGACTACATGTTGCACTTCCAGAGACTGGGATATAACATGAATACACATGCTCCTTGGCAACATAAGTAATTTTGGGCGTAATCGCATCGCCGACAAAATGCCATTAATCTGAAACGTATAAAGTGTTATAACTAAGCCGTAAAATAAGATAGAGAATTAAATTTTGGTACAACGAGTCACATAAAAAAGGGGCACCTGTGTTTTGAAAACCTTTTGAAAGTTAGCGCAGCTTTGGCCCTAAAAAGTTTAATATATAAATCTTATAAGCCAATAAAGCTATATCTCCCAAATTTGCACAGGACAAAATTTTTGACCTTTCTTACTATAGTGTGAAATTAGGCGAAAGCGGATGATAACCTCGCCCATTTTCCATATAATGGTACTGTTAAAAACTACTTAAAGCGCGATGAAACAATAACTAATACGACAGAGACATTAAATTTTAACCCAAAATGGAGTGAGAAGACTTTATAGGAGTCGCGGTTAAAATTCGACAATGGGCGTCGCCTATCCTGACGTTCCTATATTACAGTGCTAAAAGGGGTGAAATCGGACTACAACCACGCATACTTCCCAAAAAGCGCAATTTTAAATTCAATATGAATTTTACACTTTCCAGTATACAAATCAAGCACCAAAGAGAATATCGGGACAAAACCTTGTACAAATAGAGCCTTTGAGGCTTACCATCTCAAGTCTAAAAATTGTCAAAACCGGACCATAACTGTTCAAGCCCCCAGTTACCGAATATGCGGACCCCAGTGACTGGTGCTAACTTTTTACCGTAAATAACGGTCTACGGTCAGATTCGGAGAGAGTCTCTTTCAGTTAATAGTATGCCTGTATAGAAAACAAGTAAGGAAGGGCTAAGTTCGGATGTAACCGAACATTTTATACTCTCGCAAAGTCAAATGGTATACTCGTTTGAGATTTCTTTGTGGATTGACTGATATTTTCGGTAGAAGGTCAACTATAGGCACTGGGGTCCACATATTTAGTACTTAGAGGTTTTGGTTCGATTTAGTCAATTTTTGGCCGCAAGGTGGCATACTTAAATTGCATTATTCACGCAAAGTGTTACCCCGATATAATCATTGTTACCTGATTTGCCTAGTGGAAAGTGAAAAAATCAGATGGAATTGAAAATGGTGTTACATGGGAAGTAAGCGTGGTTGTAGTCCGATTTCGCCCATTTTCGCACTATGACATAGAAACATGAAAAGAACGTTACGCACCGAATTTGGTTGATATCGGTTAAGCAGATCTCAAGATATGGGTTTTCACCTAAAAGTGGGCTGTGCCACGCCCACTGTCTAATTTTGAACGCGGTTCCTATAAAGTCATCTCATACCATCCATAATGCTTGACTTATCGCGCTGTTAGTAGTTTTTAACAGTACCGTTATATGGGGAGTGGGCCACCCGATTTCAACTATTTTCACACCGTCAATAGAATTGCTAAAAGCATTTGCTTCCAGTGAATTTTGTTATTATGGCGTTAGCGGTTCAGGAGATATGCACATTAAACCTATTAGAGGCGGGACCACGCCCACTTTTTAAAAAAAAGTTTTAACTGCAGATGCCCCTCCCTAATGTGATCCTGTGTACCAAATAACAGTCTTGTATCTTATTGCGGAGCTTAGTTATGGCAAGTTATTTGTTTTTGATTAATGGCGTGGCAGTGGTCCGATTACGCCCATCTGCAATACCAACCATCTCACGGTACCAAGAAACATGTCTACCAAGTTTCATAAAGATATCTCAATTTTTACTCAAGTTAGAGCTTGCACGGACGGACGGACAGACAGTCACCCGGATTTCAACTCGTCTCTTCATCCTGATCATTTATATATATATAACCCTATATCTAACTCGATTAGTTTTAGGTGATACAAACAACCGTTAGGTGAACAAAACTATTATACTCTGTAGCAACAGGTTGCGAGAGTATAAAAATTAGCCTATATATACCTTATAGAAATATATATTATATTTTCGAATTTCAGGTTTACTTCATACCGCATATTTCGACCAATGTGTGAGATATCTTAATGAAATTAAGTGGATGCATTTTTCTTATAATTGTGCATTTTTGTGACTAAAATGAGAAAACAACGGATGAAAACTCGCGTTAACGCCTATATAATTAATCACAGAATTTTCAAACATCCAGTTGATTTTACCTCATATGGTGTTGGTAACTGAAGTACCTTATTGAAAATCAGGGAGCATTTTATTCTGTTAATAGTATGTTATATTGCCAAAAAAGATAAAATCGGGGCAATACCCTTATCTCTCATATACATACCTAATATAACATTTTCAAGCTTCCGTTTGCCCGTATGCCACACTTATATAACAGTCAATATGTAAGATATCTTAGCAAAATTAACTGAACCTGTAATATTTGATATACTACAGCTTAATACTAAAAATATGTGAATTTAGTCTACGAATTACCCCAAAATTCCTAATACTACATATGTATAATGATTTTTGTTATTCTAATAAACCCCATAACGAACATGTCGTTCAGTGTAGGAGTTATATATTTATAACATTGCTTATAAATACGATCTCAAGTATACGTCTGTACGCCTGTATAATCATTTCCTACTTTCCACCTAACAAAAGGTGTTATACTTTAATAAAACTAAATGAACAACTTTACTTAAAAATTATGTCCTAGTATGAATGAAATTGGTCTAGACTTTGGTCCAAACCTTATGTCTCTAAAATAATGAATTGCGATCCCCTGGTTGACGATTTCCACATCATCTCAATATAATAAATTAAGCCTCTACGGTTGAGCTTATATCACATACATACATGTATATCACATTTGAGGATGATTTTAATGTAATTTAAAGTATAACAATAGGACTATCTTAAAACTAAGTCTATGAGCTGTAAGTGCCGTTTCAGACAGGGATGCAAAAGAGTCTGATCTTTTTCAAATTTTCTTTTGGTGTCGCTCTGGGCATTCACACGGTCAAAAAGAGTCCAGCAACTCGAGTCTAGTTTTTCTGCATTCCTTTTCACAAAATGTTCGTAAATATTTGTGCGGTTCGACTGCGCAACACCGCGCAACACTGCATGCTGCGTATTTCATTTGTATGTTGAGATGATGGTCACACATTTTGCTTGCAATGAATTACCATGAATATGGTAGAACAATATGCATAATACAAGTACCTACCCGCTAAATAGTTTCAAAAAAATACTAAAGACGGGAATTCCCTAATCCACAAGAATGTATTGAATATCCGCTACTAATATTTTCAAGGCCAAATTTATAATAGGAATTTCCTAATCTTTAAGTATTAAAAACTCATAATTTCTTTACTCCGTATTAAAAATTCATAATTTCTTTACTCCATAATCTATATCTTAATTTTCTCCTTATTTACAATTTGTCATAATATTTCTATTATTCTATGCATACATATTTGCATATTACATACAAAAATAGATAACAGAACTCAAATTTGCGATCGAATTCATTTGAAACCGAGCGCTCTTGCAACCATTCAAAGGATTTGAAAGTGAAAAGGAATGCTGAAAAGGGTAGCAGCGAGCTGTTACGAAAAAGAACACAAAGCGTGCCACCCGAACACGAGTGGCACGGTCCCTTCGTCTTTCCTCGTCGTCCCCTCGCCCACAATAAACTGGTTTGAGACTCTTTTGCGTCCCTGTCTGAAACGGCACTAACATAACTTAATAAAATATCAAATTTGATTGTAATCCATTTTCGATTTCGTCGATAACGAATGTTGAATTGTTTCGCAAAGTACCCTGAACAGGGTATATTACGCCACGGAGTTTCTAACACCCAGAAGGAAGCGTCGGAGACTCTATAAAATGTGATCAGCATGATGAGCTGAGTTGATTTAGCCATGTCCGTCTGTCTGTCTGTATATACGCGAACTTGTCTCTCAGTTTTTGAGATATCGATTGTAAATTTTGCACATGACCGTTTCTCACCAAGAAGCTGCTCCTCGGAAAGGCCGATATCGGATCACTATAGCATATAGCTGCCATTCAAACTGAACAACGGAATCAAGTACTTGTATTGGAAACTTTTTGATTTGACGTAATATCTACACGAAATTTGGCATGGATTATTATCTAAGGTAATAATGCGATATCCGAAAAAATTGCTCAGATCGGACACTATATGTAGGTATATTGTTGTTTGTCATACAAATTGACCGATCTAAATAAATTTTTGTATGGAGATAAGTAGAA